GTTCATCGCTGTGTGCAAAACTTAGCCATGTCCGTATCGGCTTGTGGGTCACTTATCATGCGGGGCGCGAAAGCTGTCCTCATACCTGCACACACCGACCTGCGGGTTGCTGGGTACCGCTACCATAAGTGTAGAACACGGAGAGCCTTACCATGACAGACAGCTGACCAGTCTGCATGCAACCTCTTTCGGGACTGTTTCTGCCCGAGCCGACCGGTCATGCCGGTGTGTGGGGTGGGTGATCTTTTCACTGCCTTCCCTGAGAAATCGAAGCGCTGTGGTTTTAACTGCTAGGAATTTATGAAATGCTTATGAATGTACGCTTCTGTGCATTCACAGCAACGAACCTCGAACCGCGATAAAAAGTTGTGTGCACATAAGACGACTGGGACGGTGCACACCACGTTCGGGAAATGTTTTTCAGCGTTTGACTTCCAGGCATGAAGTCAAAGTGAATGTAAAACATTTAAATATCTTTTTTCATTGTATCTGCCTCACATCATCCATGAACTCGAATTCTTAATTTGCTGTGTTTCCTCGCTCGCTTCGTGTTACCATGCCAATTCCCTGCAGTCCTTGATGCCAATCAGCGGTTTCAGTATGCTAATCATGTCTTGCACGGCGCTGCTTTAATTACTACGCCGAGAGTAGCAACTCACTCGACCGTGACCGTTCAGGGTGACCGGGAGATAGTGAGGCAAGAGTGTGGTGTTAATTACATTATATTTTTGGTCCATAAAGTGACAAACTTTGCCAATATCAGTTTCAGGAGGAAAAAAAAGATAATGGTCACTGGCTGCACCTCTGTGCATCAGCTCATCCCTCTCCCATCCAGCAGTTGGACAGGTATTTCAGGAGTCCAGCGATGGTCCATTTGAGACACAGCCCACACCATACGAGGGACCTTAGAAGCCCGTGAGATATTTGTCTGGAGTAACCTTCGAGCAGTTTTCAGCACAGAGCTGAAATTTTAGCAAACTTAGCTTTATCATGTCAACACACATTGTGACAGCCTGGGATTTCTGACCATGACATTTGATTGACATGACGCCTCGCGACGGTTGGTCTATGCCGTTATTTCGAGGTCATGTCGGGTCAGGTCGGGTCGGGTCATCGAGGTTACATTCAGGTATCAATGACAATCAAAGATAATGCACGAGGTTCTTGGACCGATTTTCCTCAGCTCTGTCACTCTAAAATGAATTACTATGGTGAACTGATTGATAAATCTGGTGAACTGAGGGCAACCTTTACCAAATCCTGATTTTGTCACCAGGTATGATTTTTCGACGCTAATCCAGTTTGAGCCCAATGGGCACGCATCTGCAGTTGTTAAAAGTATTTCTGGCGTTTTCTCCATTGCAGTAATTTGTGTAGTTTTTTATGCAGCCGGACAAGTCCATGCAGCAACAGCTTCAGCTTCCCTGGGTTGGCATGCCGTACAACAGAGCACACTCGTCTCTGTTCACTATTGCCCATCGCATGCACCGCCCTGAAAGATAGTCAACGCCCGACCTCTATGGCCTCACTTTACCTGCACAGGTCACAGTCGTCATTGATCAGTCACCTCCCTCCGGTACCGCTGACAAGAGTTTCCAATGGTGGCTCTAGGTTGCACAGTTCAAGAGCTGATAAAAGGGACCTTTAAGGCTCCCTTAGTAGAATGAAGGCAAATAAAATGCTTGTAGAGTGTGGGATCGAGAGCCACGGATGACCTAATAAGCTAGATGGGCCAAATTTGTAAATATGTGAATTCACAACAAGGTCGCAAGATATCACGCGGCCCATCCGGAATCAACGATGTTGTTGAGAACTGTCGTTATCTACCGTTTTACTGCCAGAGGTCACCATGCATCTCCCACACAGGGCAAGGAAATGAGATTTCCGTAGCATTGGACCTCAAAAAATAACTTCTCAGAAATTAATGAAAATCTCGGTTACCTCGTAGAAACTGGGACAAAATATTTTTTGCGAAACATGCTGAGGAAATATGTCCTCAATCTGTCATGTGGTGCGGCGTTGCTGTACGCTATTTCCCGTGGTTTCAGCAAGGTCGCTTGGGTGGGTGGCTTCACAGGCACGTAGCCGAGGGGGAGGCATGGCGGCCGGCTATCTTATATACTCCGCTGCTGAGCCAAAAGGCTCACACATTATAACTCAGCTTTTTCGCGAGAATCCGAATCAACTTCGCAGGAGTTCTGGCCAAATTTGTCGTTCCTCCCCCCCCCCCCCGAGGTGGCTCCACGGATTTTGAGTAGGGGTGGGCTGGATTTTCGAGGGGCATCCTCGCAGAGGGGGTGGGGGGGGGGGCTCCAGGGCAGTATCGCGTTTAGGGAGAGGTATACCGAGGGCATGTGGTCTGTTATTAAACTGTTACATGCACCATATCCAAGAAAATAAATGTGAAAAACAAAATGGGGGAGTGTGCGGGTAGCGTAGTGGCGAACGCGACTGCGTTAACCTCGCGCGTCTGGAGAATCAGAGGTACGGAGTTCGATTCCCCGCGGTGCCCGCCCTTCCGGCCAGGGGGGAGGCAAGCGACGCCATATAGCCTCAGCAGCTGAGTGCGTCGTAAAGCCCCAATGACAACAATAACGAACAGAGTGGGGCCTTCGAATCATCCCATCAAAGGACGTTGGTAACCCATAAACAGGCTCTCCTGATGAATAGAGGGGATCCCTTGTCCATAATAGGGCGCTGACGATTCTCAAAGAAACCTCAAAATATAACCAAGGGACCTCGTTATCGCAAAACACGGCACCCTGATTAGAAACCGCGGCCATCTGAAGCACAAAGGGGGTGTCCTGTTCCAGAAATGGGGCATCCTGAATAATGACCGTGGCTCAAACCCAGGACTGGGTCTCCTGGGCTACAACAGGGTTTTCCGAGCCAGTAAAGAGGCGTCCTTATCGCTATATTATGCCTTCTGATCTAGGGCATGGGCCGCCTTATTTATAATGGTGGCGTCATGATCAAGAAAACTAGCCTCTTCATGTACAACAATGTCTTCTAAGCCCAGTTTTTGCGCTCCAAGACAAGTGTGGTGCCTCCCTGATCCGAATATTCGTGATCTATGGGTAGTTACAATGACTTTAGTTTTGGAAAAAAGGCCCCTGAAATTTTGGGGATGGGGAAAGCACATACTCTTGCTGCCCTGCCTGCCGGCAACAAGGAGAGGAGGGAGGGCGGGGGGGGGACATTTGTCCCTTCTACACGTCTTGCTATATGCTACTGTGTTCTGATGTTCTGACTATATGCCTCGTAAATGTGTTCTGACTTTATGCCTCGTAAATATGTTTTGACTTTAGGCCTCTTTATCGCCCCCCTCGACGGGAGACATCCAATCAAAGATGACCTCTGCGTGGTCATCCAGTTCCTGCTCGGTTTACATTCTGAATATCGCCATGATGCCAGTAATGCAGTTTTAGACAAAATGGACAGTAAATGGCAGCATTTCTACTTGTCGAGCTAAGCATACTAAATAGCTCGCTTCTGGAGAATGATTGCTGATTACGTATTATAGCATATACTCGCAGGGTACTTCCAAACAAAGTCTTCCACCAATCCGGTTTTATTCAGACGCATATCAGGTACATATTGCGATGATAAATATCATAACACGCTGCAAGCATGATAAATTACTCCTTTTTAGTAGGCCACAGCAGGCTTGTAAGAAGGTGTGTAGGCGGGGCGGGCTTGTAAGCCGGGGCAGGCTTGTAGGCAGGCTTGTAGGCGGGCTTGTAGGCCGGAGCAGCAGCCTTGTAGGCAGGAGCGGGGGTGGTACTCGGGGTAGGTGGCCTCTCCCTCGTAGGTGACCTCAGCGTTGTAGCCGCCGTAGTTGGTCGGCGACGTACTTGACGTGCTGAACACGGCCGTCGGGCAGAGCCACCGAGTAATATCCCTGGGTGTTGTGGCCATCGCTCTCCTCCTTCTTGGCGAAGTTAGCTCCGGAGTAGTGGTCGTTGACGGCGTAGTCGTAAGCGAACGGCTTAGCCTCCTCCTTGTACTGGGGCTCCGGGTGATAGGGGGCCGGCTTGTAGGACGGGGCCGGGTGGTAGGGGGCCGGCTTGTAGGACGGAGCCGGGCGGTACGACGGGGAGTCAGGGACCGGGGCAGCAGCAGCAACAGCCAGGACAGCGGCGACAACGAAGACCTGCAACAGCATGAACAAGTTGTTGGGAGACCTGCATATCAAAGTCAATGGCGATTATAATTGCACGTCGTAATTGGTTTAACTATTAGTGTCATTTCTTGTACATGGCATTGATTGAACGCCACATGAATTGTTCCCGGTCGAACAATCGAGACACTTGTTCCATTCTGTGCCAGCACCTGAACACCTATCGCGCGCACACACACAACACACACACACACACACACACACACACACACACACACACACACACACACACACACACACACACACACACACACACACACACACACACACACACACACACACACACACACACACACACACACACACACACACACACACACACGCACACACCTTCATGCTGTGTGCTTGAATGGCTGTTCGCTATGGAAATGATACCAGCTCTCATGGGGCGCGCTCTTTTATAGGCCAGCAGCCCACCGCGCAGATAGGCAAGGTCACGGCCGGGCCGCTTGGTCAATCGCCGCCCCGTTTTGCCACCGGGACGTCTAGCACATTTGCAGTGCTCGCGCCGTCATGATACAGCGGTTTACACGTAAGCTATGCACTTCGCATCGGTTTGGGAACACCGTTCACTGGACTGTGCCGCAGCCAGGCGTTGAAGAAAAAAGGAAAAATGCATGGCACGGTTGCCCTGATCTGATTTGTGATTTCACACAATGGAGGGAAAGGTGGAACTGTGTTTTGATCTCACATGAAGAAACAAAATAAAAAGAGAATGGGATGGCTGGCCTGGTCTTATCTCTGATTCCACGTGCTCTTTTCCATTTCTTTTTCAACGCCTGCCTGCGACACAGTCCAGTGAACAGCGTTCCGAGCCGATATGACCGAACCGTTCCCGAACCGATTCCAGTGCCCGATCGCGGGCACTGCAAGTGTGCTAGACGTCCCGGTGGCAAAACGAGGCGGAGATTGGCAAACTGGGCCAGGCCATGACCTTAGTGAGTATCTGTGCGGTGGGTGGCTGGCAGATAAAAGAAAGCACCCCATGAGAACTGATACCACTTCCATAGTAAACAGCCATTCAAGAACACAGCATGAAGGTGTGTGTTTGTGTGTATGTTTCCGCTGGTGTTCAAGCCCTGGCACAGAATGGAGCAAGTGTCTTAATTGCTCGACCGACAAAAGTTTGTGCAGCGTGCAGTCACTGGCATGTGCTACAAATGACGTTGATCGTCAACCCCTTAAAACGTTTTATTACAATCACCACTGACCTCCATGTCTGGCTCTCCCAACAGTTCGTTCATTCTATTGCAGGTCTTCGTCGTCGTCGCCGTCCTGGCCGTTGCAGCCGCTGCCCAGGCCCCCGACTCCCCGTCGTACCACTCGGCCCTGTCCTACAAGCCGGCCCCCTACCACCCGGAGTCCCAGTACAAGGAGGAAGCCGAGCCGTTCGCCTATGACTACGCCGTCAATGACCACTACACCGGCGCCAACTTTGCCAAGAAGGAGGAGAGCGATGGCCACAACACCCAGGGATATTACTCGGTGGCTCTGCCCGACGGCCGTGTCCAGCACGTCAAGTACGTTGCTGACGCTTACGGCGGCTACAACGCTGAGGTGACCTACGAGGGAGAGGCCACCTACCCCGAGTACAATCCCGCTCCTGCCTACAAGGCTTCTGCCCCGGCTTATAGGCCTACCTACAAGCCGGTCTACAGCCATCCCGCCCCTGCCTTCAAGCCTGCCTACAAGCCTGCCCCTGCCTACACACCTTCTTACAAGCCTGCTGTGACGTACTAAGAGGGAATGATTTGCCACGCTTGCAAAGTGAGGTGAAATTTGTCCTGGTAACCTGTACCTGATACGAGTCTAAATAAAATCAGATTGATGGGAGACTTTGGTTTCTTGGAAGTTTGTTTGATAGTTTGGCACAACACAACATAACCAAAAACTCCTTCGCACAATCAAACACGAAAAGATGGACCAACTCCCGGGTGGGGGGGGGGGGGGGGGCATCGCTCCAGCCTTTTTGTTCATCCAGGCGAGAGATTGATCCGCCATCCGAAGGTACGCCTGCGCTGTAGCGCGGCGGCGCCTCCAGTGCATCACAAGACTGGATCCAGGCTTGGAAACAGCTTAAATGTTCGGCTGAGAATGACAGAGTCAGATCTCAGCGTCCGTATGTTCCAAATTCAAAATCCAACAGCACTTAAATTGTCTGCCCATGTGCTCTTCCATATGAAGAGCCAGAGAACTGTGTTCTGGGCTCTCCTGTCTACCATCAGAGTAGAATTCCAGTGCTGGGTCAAACAGAGTGCATCAGCCCTGTTCCCAAACTCCAAGTCCAACTAGTCCAACTAGGATATACTGGTAGCCCAACTAGGATATTCAATATTGTTATGGACCTAACAGCTTAGAAAATAGCAACGGGCAGCAGATAGCAGAAGATTCTTAACATGTTTTCCTTCAAGCAAGCGATTTGTCTAAGTAGCGGGCACTGATAGCTGGGAGTGACTGAGTAGGCGTTGCCGTGCCTGATGTCCGTCGCAGCCGGCGATGGCTATAAAGGCGAACCGCAGCAGCGGTGGACGCGTGGCCTGCTGCAGCCGGCAGGCTGGACCGAGTGTGGGAGGTGTGCCGCGGGTCCGTTTGATTTTCAACATCGTTAAAAGAGGCGCTTGAACTTGAGATTTCCGCTTTTGCGCCAATCTGCTCATCATGTCATGTCGTATTGCTTCATCTTCATCACAGGAATCGTTTAAATCATGATCGTCCTGATAGCTCAGCTGGTCAGAGCTCCTGCCTTTCGACTCAACCTCACGTGGAGGGATGGGTTTGGGCCACTTTAGGCGCTCGCTACTTGGGCTTGATAGGTGTGGCCTGCGGCCGGTGGCAGCGGCCGCGCTAAAGGTCAGATGTCACGCCGTAGGGCAGGGCGGACCGTGCGGAGCATTGCGGCAGGATAAGCGTTCACCTCCAAATTCTGCTGTTGACCTGAAGCTGCACGATCGGATGGTAGAGGTATAGGCTTAAACAACTAGCAGCTGCTTGGCTTGAGCTCTAATCCTAGAATGGCATTAGCTCTGTTCCCAGAAATCCATCGATCCAAAAAGTTCGAGTTCATTATCATAAAAACAGTGTCCCTGATTTTGATCCTTAAGCGCAAAGAGCAAGTAATTTAGTTTCCTACTCATTTAGGGGACAGGTCCCAGGTTTATAAAGTGATCCAAATTCCCGAAGAAACGGGTTTTAGGCATATTTGGGGTGCCAATTTCCCCTGTTCAAGTCCCCAACGTAGTTTGCGAAAGCTGCACTCCCACGAAGAGGTATACTATTTATAGTGTTTAACACATACGGGTGCTGGTGCTACGCTTAGCTTCTTTGTAACAGAAGACCCTCCGAGATAAGTTGCAGCGAAGTACCTGTTGATTCAGATGTCGTTCCGATGGCACTGCGGCGCGGCCGGTTGGCCCATCAGCGGCCGGCTAGCTCACGTGTGGGTTCCACTGATGGCCGCCATGATTCCTTTCTCAGCGGTATGTCGACGGTTTAATATGAGAGCATACAGTTAGGATATACTACCCGAACATGAGTGCGGAGTCAGAATCCTGCCCTTTGATAGACATTGACCCTCCCTGTCCGATTGACCTAGGCTGATAATTTGCCACTACTGTGGCCCTAATTCCCCTGATAAATGAATCCGCCAGAGACGCTGTCACGAATACCTGTCTACTTCAGAAGGGCGAGGGAGCCCCTAATTCTTATTTGATGATTTATACAGTGCATTTTTTTTAGATGAACGCTGTCCGTCAAGTGTCAGGCGCGACCATTTGTTCGATAAAAACAGCAGCGGCGCGGAGTGACCATGTGGTGGAAGTGGTGGTTTTATCAAATAAGTTCAAATGTAGTGAAACCATCGCCCAGGGCAACACAAGCCAATAAGATTAAAATCATGAAACATGTCGCCAAGGGCCCAGCGCAAGTCAGAGATCAATATGTATTCCTCACCGCAGTAGAAGACCGTTTCACACTAAAAAAAACACTTCAAATTTAATGAAAAATTGCAGTCACCGACGTGGCTTTAGACAAAAGGCTTCATTCAGAGACAGTGCTCACAATTTGCGATGAGCACGCAGTTGGATCACACAGCCTTGATGCAAGCCCGCGTTCTGGGCTCGACCACCCAACAGCCACCAAATAATACGCCTCAAGGATTGTGTCTAATTGACGTCGGAGGGCCCCGCCGCCATCAATCCTTCATAGTAACTTGACGCAAACAACGCAGCTCAGGGCTTCACACGTTAATGTCTCCGTGCGGCACTTTCCTGCAGTGGAGCACAGGCTCCGCTTACAGCACAGAAAAAAGATGGCGTGTGCGTTCGAACAACGATGGTCATGCGTCAACATTTGCAGCTCATTGAGCGGGAAAATTACCCCCCATCCAAATGTTAAGCTGGCCACCAATAGCACTTTAAAGTCAGCACCATAAGTATTAAAGAGGAGGCGCAGAACATGTCCGGTTCTCCCTCTCCCTTCCAGACATGAATTTTGGCCCTCCCTATTACTTTTTTATGAAGATCAATGAATTGCGGGGAAAGAAAAAGGTGTGATTTACAAGTATATGAAAACGAAATAAGGTCGTAAAGACTCTACGGGGAATGGAAACATTGACGCAGTGTGGATGCACGGTGCTGAATGGCTCATAGAACATCGAAATTTGTTCAATTGAGGTTTGATTTTAGAATTTTTGGTTATATCTTTCCAGAGCGAAGCCACTTTTAGTTTTTTTCTAAAGAAATCCATAGATAAAGATCACGAAAATGTCGCAGGTTATCCTTACAAGCCAGTACGAACACATGCTGGAGCAAACTGCCTTAAACATTAGCAGTATGCGCAATGCCACGCGATACCTACATCACAGCGAAAATCTTGTCTCGCTGCTGTAGGCTGTGATTTTTGCCGCTACTTTCTGCTTGCAAAATTCAATAATTTTGTTAGTAACTCCAACACACACTAAGTGAGGCTCCTTCCCTCACTGCAATCTTTCAAAAGAGGTGCGTAATATCGCGTCAGCAACAGAGGCGCACCAAAATAAGTTTAAAAACCTGCAAACTTACAGTCCGTTCTCACATGGATGCAAGACAATTGAGCATAGTGCTCATAAAACATTGCACTTGTGGCTGTTACGCATCTGTGGTGCCTTTCATGCAATCGATTAAAGTTCTTACTCAAACCATGTTATCCTGCTTTGACCGATACGAGACTGGCTTCAGTTCCGTCATTTATTCACACGTTCATCAGGTACAGGTATCACATATCACACCAGCTGTCTTCCGATATACATATATGTGATATGGGCTAGAATTCCCTCTTAGTAGGACACAGCGGCCTTGTAAGGCCTGTGAGCAGGAGCGGCACGGTAGGCAGGGGCAGCAGCCTTGTAGGCAGGGGCGGGGTGGTACTCGGGGTAGGTGGCCTCTCCCTCGTAGGTCACCTCAGCGTTGTAGCCGCCGTAAGCGTCAGCAACGTACTTGACGTGCTGGACACGGCCGTCGGGCAGAGCCACCGAGTAATAGCCCTGGGTGTTGTGGCCCATCGCTCTCCTCCTTCTTGGCGAAGTGGCTCCGGTGTAGTGGTCGTTTGACGGCGTAGTCGTAAGCGAACGGCTTAGCCTGCCTCCTTGTACTGGGGCTCGCGTGGGGTAGGGGGCCGGCTTGTAGGACGGGGCCGGGCGATATGACGGGGAGTCGGGGGTCAGGGGCGGGCGGCGGACAACAGCCAGGACGGCGGCGACAACGAAGACCTGCAACAGTATGAACAGTTGTTCGAGAGCCGGACGCAAGTATATGGGTTAGACATCACACTTGTATGACTGATGTGTTTATGGCTTGTTTGTGAAGAACTTGTTTTGCATATCGAGTTATACTTACATGATTAATGCGGGAAAGGCAAAACTATGTCTATAAATCTTTCTGCCTAAAACATTAAGTTGGGTCTGTTCCAACAATGCTTCTCATTTCAGCGAAAAGTCATAAAACTGGCGGATTGCTTACAGCCATTGGCCAGGCTATCATAATTTTACTCTCGGCAGTCAGTTTTCAAACTCATATGCCCACAACGCAATGGGATCTTGACTGTCCATGAAGGCTTGTAATAACTTTTGGCTTACAAACTAGGTACGACAACAGCCGCATTTTTGTTTTCTGGCAACGTCGTTATCAGTTAAATGATAACACCAACGGCCACAAGAATGAAATGCATGTTAACTGAATCACTACGAATGGAATTGTATTTATACCATATTCCTAGTCACATCGGAGCCAATTTTGCGGGGTTCAGTCCATTGCTCACTGCTTGCAACATTTCTCGAGACATCTGGACATCCAACACCGTGTCAATCATGCCCTACCGCACGTCTAACTCTCACCTTCATGATGTGTGGCTGGCTGGCTGACAGCTGTGCAACT